AAGGAAAACGTGAGTAAATGTAGAGTTATTACTTAGACCTTGGTAAACTGAAGACTCATTTCTCAAAGTTGATTTACATAAATATTACAATCCCATTCAAATTCCAAAAAGGGGGTGGTGAGTGATGGGAATAAAATTCTTAAATTGAGTTTGAAACAAAAACTTTAAAATAATCAAAATATGAAAGGAATATCTATACAGGTCATTCCCATAATACAGCCTAACCCATTAAAGGACTGAGTTCTCTGGCTACAAACCTGCCAAAAGGAGGAATCCAGGTTCAAAGGGACTCAAGAAAAGGATTCTAGGGCAGAAGCAAGAACCAGCCAGGATCAGCCTCATTCACTCCCCAGGACAAATAGCTCCATCCACACATCTGGACTTCATCTTAGGACAGAGGCTTCCTTCAAATAGTGACATTACAGAACACCAGTTGTTGACAACAACTCAACACTTGTTTGACATAAATGTTAAACTGGCTCCCACATTTACCCAACTTTTACCTACTAACCCAAAGATGAGCTCTCAAGGGAAAGAACAGATCAGTTGAAAAAAATAATCACCTTCCTCTGCATCTCAAATTGTAGACTGAGTTAAAATTTGTACATGTTGCATGTGAAAACTCTTCAAAAATGAGCTAATTTCTAATATTACTAGATTCATTTTGCTCTCTTGCCTGTGATTTTAAGTTGATGCCTTAAAGTACAACTCCTTTTCTAGGAGGAATGTCTAACAATGCATATTCAATGACCAGTTGTGAAAACTCTCCTTCCAGGATGAATTTTTATAATCTGAGCATGGTAAGATTACTAATTCCTACTGCTAATAGCGATTCATGTTGTTTTTCTTGAAATGGCAGCAAAAGATTATTTCTGAAGGTTCTGACTTACACTCATTCATATCACATGAAACCACAGGTCTGGAAATCACATGGGACATGGGTCCATGCAGTACAGAGAATCTTGTTTCTCTCCACTTATGTGGGCTGTTATAGAACATTTACAGATCCCCTTTTGAATTCAAGGCTGATGTTTTCCCAGCCTCTATTGTTGCCTTCAGATCGTTCCTCCATTTCCTAATTGCTTACTTGTTTCTCCATCCTATTTATAGCTCTTTTTTTCCCCACTCTGTTGGAATGATTTCCAGCTGCAGCGTTCACTCTTTCAAATATTTCTGAGGGGCGAAAAAGCTCATTTTCTACAGAAATAGCCAACCTCAAAGCAGTTCATTTCATTGTCCAGGCCTTTTACCATTAAAAGACCCTTTCATATTATTCATGAGTCTAAACTGATTCATCCATATAATTTAGATTTTAAGCTTTTAGGTTAAGAACTACAATTTCCCGATGACATTTTCAGTGCTAGGTAGAGAATCTGCACTGACATTGACGTTCTTTCTCAAAACAGAAACGTTAGCCCTTACTCCACTTTTAACTTAGGCTACAGAACAAAATTGGCTGATATTCTTTGAGGTAGGAAGGATTCTTAATAACTGCCTGAAGTAACAAACTATAATAGGAAGTAGATTTTGCTCTAATGGATTTCCACTTAATGAACTCACGCATTTATGTAAATCAATACAAGGAATGGTTTTATGTGGGTGTACTACCTTTTAAAACTTGTTTTGTCTATTCTGAAAGTAATATATGCTCATTATGAAAAGTAACAGAAGAGGAAAAATACCACCCATATTCTCAATGTACAAAACAATATCAGTATCAACATTTGGTGAATTGATTTTCTTTTTTTTGTTTGTCTAAATGGAATTTGAGCCTTTGTTTTATCTTTTTTAACTTCTGGTTTTACATAATTGAATTCACTTTGTATATAACTTCATAAATATATAATATTTTATATAGAAAGTATCTTGCTTTCTTTACTGTTAACATTTGTTCTATTATAAATTCTATAATACCAAAAAAACACTTTACAACAGTTACATAATATCTCAAGTAGTGGTAATACCTGGCCTATTTTTACTATGTGACATGTTAAAATGGTTTCTAATTTTAACTATTACATAAGGATAGAAAAAGAACACTTCTAAACAGAAGACTTCCATTATTTGGGCTTAGTTTCTCAGAATTGATTCCCAGCAAATGTAGACTGGTTCAGCCCTTACGGAAAACAGCATGAAGGTTTCTCAAAAGATTAAAAATGTATCTGAGACATGCCCCAGCAATTACACTTCTATCTACTCAAAGAATACAAAACACTAATTAAAAGAAAAACATGTACACACGAGTTCATTGGAGCATTATGTACAATAGCCAAGATAGGGCAACAACCTCAGTACCCAAATACAGATAAGCATATCAGGAAGATACCGTATATACACAATGGAATACTACTCAGCTATGAAAAAGATATACTCTTACTATTTGCAACCAAATGAATGGAGATGGAAGAGATGATGCTATGCAAAATAAATCAGAAGATAAATACTGGATGGGGTCACTTATATATGGAATACAGAGAAACCGAAGGGTCAGATAAAGTCAAACTAAGAACTAATCCTAGAAAGCTGACAACTCAGGCAACCAGAGGGGGAGCAGGAGGCAGAGAGCAAAGAGGGGTTAGAGCAAAGTGGGGACAGAGCACAATGAACTATGATGGTGGACGAGTGTGGTGGATGGTGCATTGTGAAAACACCTGAGGGGGAGGTTATCCTACACTTTTAAATTTTTTTTTTTTTTTTTTTAAATTTTTTTTTTTTATAGAGGCATGTTTTTATTTATTTATTTGTTTGTTTGTTTTGTTTATACATGCACTGGGTACAGTCAGAAGCACGGGAGGGTGAGAGAATTCACCAGAGCCAGAGAGGGGAGCAGAGCAGGCAGAGGGACCGAAGTACACTGCTGAGGGGAGCAGCGGGCGGCAGGAGAGGTCTGCGCGCCACGTGGGACCCTCCTCTGGTGGCCGGGGAGCAGCCGGGGATCGAACCAGCGCCACCGAGGCCGCGGGCAGCTTCGCAACCCAGCGCTCAACCGCTGCGCCACCGGGGAGGCCCGTTATCCTACACTTTTAATACACAAATGATGTAAACCAATGTTACCTTGATTAAAAAAAATTTAAAAGAACAGAGTCACAGAAATCACAAAAGTTATTTCAAAGGGACTATCTGAAAGTATATGTTTTCAATTTTTCCCCAAAACTTACATGATTTATGCTCCTTCCGACAACATATGAGCATGCCCATTCCATTGTACCCTTACCTTAAGTCAGTAAGAATTCTCACTAAAAACAAGTTATATGTTGATTTTCTAGGAGAAACATTTTCTTATGTTAACTTGCATCTTAACTTGCTCCTTTTATTAGTTGGGGCACATGTATGATTTTCTGAGAATGATTTTTGCACATTTATCGTCATTTTTAAGTTTCTATAATTTATTTTGTAGATTTTTTAATAAAGAAAATAAACCTGATTCATAATTGATTTTTTAAAAGTCCCCATAATATTTGCCTCTAATTCTGATTATTATAGGCATAGTTTTTTGTTATACTATAAAGCCTATCTTTGCCCTTATGGATTTTTCTATTATTTTTAAGTGTAATAAGTCTTCCCTTCTCTAGAGATTTGATAGCCTTATTATATACTTTTAAAATTATATTACACTTAGATTAATATATGTTATCTTTATAGAATGTATTTTTGGTATATGGTATGACATCAAAATCCAAAGATAGGGCCTCCCTGGTGGTGCAGGGATTAAAGTGTCTTCTGTCAAGCTTTTGCCAGCCACTGTAGCCTGAGTACAATCCCCAGCCAGGTTGCTGACCCACACAGTGCAGCAGACCCTTCCTGTCTTTTTTTTTTTTTTAAACTGAGAACTTTTTTTTTCCCAAAGATTTATTTATTTATTTATTTATTTATACAAGCCCTGGGTACAGTCAGAAGCGCGGGAGGATGAGAGAATTCACCAGAGCCAGAGCGGGGAGCAGAGCAGGCAGAGGGACCGAGGTACACTGCTGAGGGGAGCAGCGGGCGACAGGGGAGGTCTGCGCGCCATGTGGGACCCTCCTCCAGTGGCCGGGGAGCAGCCGGGAATCGAACCAGCGCTGCAGAGGCTGCGGGCATCTTCGCAACCCAGTGCTCAACCGCTGCGCCACCGGGGAGGCCCCAGACCCTTCCTGTCTTACCCGCAGCTCCCCTCAGCAGTGTATTTCAGTAATCGTCCTGTTCTGCTCCCCACTCTGTCTCTGGTGAATCCTTTCTGGCCTACACCCTGGATCTTGTATGCATATTTTTTTAAAAATCCAAAGATATCTTTTTTCATTCACAAATAACTGATTGTCCCAACATTGTTATTAACGATCACTCCCTTTAACCATTTGTTTGTGGTGTTTCCTGTACCTTGATGTGCTGGAACTTACATATCAGCAGCAGAAACACCATCTGGTTCTAGAGATCAACTTGTATCATCCCTGCCCTGCCTGAAGTATTCAGCTTCACAATTTCTAATATATGCAGAACTCCTCACCATTCATTAAGAATCTTTAAAAAAGCATCTTTATTTTTTTCAGTGTTCATTATTTTTTACCAAGTTCTTCACAACTTAATAGCAATCTTTTTTCTTCTTAGTGGGACAGAATGGTTCAACAACTTAGAGTCAATGGCATTTTAGCTCATGAAGTATGATATCCCATTCTTTGGTTTTCTATAAGCCAAGGGTATTTCAGTTCTGAGTCCCTCAGTCAGTCTACCACCTCTGGGTCATGTTAATCTTTGGCATGGTCTGAGCTCCAGGCTCCCGAAACACACACAGCAGGCCAGAGTCTCAGTTCTTGTCTTCCAGGGGTACTGCCTGCAGCTGGCCACTCAGTTCCAGCCACCCAAGATTTCCCCTCCTACCTACCCTAGAGAATCTCACCAACTTCATTCTTTCTTATGGGGAAATAATTCCCTCCCCTCATAGAAAGGCAGTTCAGTAGTTAACATTCTTTGTGTTTTTCTTCCCTCTCACCTATCCTATCCTTAAAAATTGAGAGAAAAATGCTCACCTGATTTCAGAATATGAGATAAGGAACTACCGTGCTTCCAGCCCCATCTTCATCCCTTCCTCTGGAAGACAGCAGACATCCTGCTCTGCTGGTCCAGGCAGAAGATCTGAGAGTCTCTCTCTCTGGCCCAGTACAACCTGGGAATGGAAGGGGGTAAGTCTGTATTTATTTGGGTTCAGAATCAGGACTCCACTTGCCTGCAGAGACATGCCACATCCTCTGAGATCAATCGAATGAGTGATAAATAAAGACTGTATTTGGCTTTGCTATCCATTGTGTTCACCCTCAACTGGTTCTGAACTTGGGTGGGGAAGAACAATGCACATTCCCAGTCGCAGCTTCTCTCTGCCCAAACACTTTCCTTCTTTTTTAATGGACTGTGATGTCCCATCAAACTCTATCACAAGCAACCAAAAACTTAGTTCTCCCAGGATAGAGAGGACAGTACATGCATTTCCTCCTTCCTCTGTAGGAAATGGGAGAGAAACAGTTGCATTTCATGCCACCAGAACACAGCCCATCAGAAGAGCCCATCACAGCTCTTGTTCCTGGCATTCATGCTGTTCAGCCTCCAGAACCTGTTATCAGCCTCCTAGTTCTCTTGACCCTGCTACACCCGAAGGCATCAGTGTCTAGCACTCACTCGGGCATCATTGGAGCAGGAATCTCAATTCAAAGCAAAATTTTAAAGAAAGCAGATTAGTCACATAGTGGGGTGTGCGGCCTGTGCTGTGTGTGTGAAGATTCCTACACTAGGCCTGGGACCTACCCTTTTTCCCCAGCCCCCTATCAGTCCACACCAGTACAGTTATCAGAGCATCTCTCAGAGGTCAGAGAAATGAAAGTAGAATTCTGAGACTATTATTCACAGGAGACATAAGTTTTAAGAGAAGGAAGTCAGGAGGGAGACGACCAATGAGACCAAGTACCTAAGCAGGAAGATTTTAGAACACCTTTGGGTGGGGCTTTCCCACTGGCGCAGGGGTTAAAAACAGCCCTATCAAGCTATCACCAGCCATTGCAGCCTGAAATCAGTTCCCTGGCCAGCCAGGGAGCTGACCCCATGGCACAGCAGACCTCTCCTGTCTTGCTTGCTGCTCCCCTCAGCAGTGTATTTCAGTCTGCCTGTTCTGTTCCCCACTCTGTCTCTGGTGAATCGTCTCACCCCTCAAACCTCTGGTATGTCCCAGCTCTTGTATGCATAAATAAATAAATCTTAAAAAAAAAAAAAAAAAAGCATCATCTACTAACCAGTCTACCCATGGTGGGTTCTCCTGAGGACTCTTACGGAACATGCCATTGCCCACCCTGGCTGCCACGATTGCTGTATTAATTTCTGACCCTCGGAGATGGAAATTAAATTGTGCTCCAACTCCTTAAGCGTTTACCTGACATGTGTAAGTGATTGATTCCCTGACAATCATAAATGTTTAAATTCAGTGTGGATCTTTAATGAACAGACCTGAGAACCTCCCTTAGACATGAGGATATATGAAGAGAAACTGATCACTTGTGCAACTTTCCATCAAAGGCAGAGACCAAAGGGCAGGAGAGTTACCTTTCCAGCTTCTCAGGCCTCACCTGCCACCCATGGCTGCCTTACTGACTTACTAGAAGATTAAAGCTTTTGTTTTTCAAATCTCCCCTGCCAGGTTGGTGATAAATTGTGTCATCCTGGGCAAATTGGCATCCAGCACAATGCTGCTGCAATTCCACTTTGCTAGAGGCAGCTGATTTTCTTTTTAAAGGTGAGCCAGCTCTTATTTTCTAAAAACAACTTTTTCTCCTCACATTCAGCTTTCACACATTTGCAGAAACCATGGTTAAGGGTTTTTGTTTTTGTTTTTTTCCCCTCTTCAAGTCTTTTAGGAGACAATTCCTGAATACAGAGCACACCCAAAACTAAGAAGTGGGAAAGATTTGGCTCTCAAAACCGCCATTGATTTACCTTTCCTGATATCTCCCCCTTATATACACAAACACACACACACCCAGTCCACACCCTCTCTCGTGGCTAATTCAATTGTCAGTTTAGTTAGGCTACAGTTTCCAGCTATTCATCCCAATGCTAATCTAGTTAACACTGAAAAGACTTGTAATTTAACTCCTTACTCAAGTGACTTTAATTAAAGGAAATGGTCCTGGCTAATACCTTTAGCACCAAGGCAGAGGCGTTGCTGAAGAAGAAATTCCACCCATAGACAATGGCTTTGGCTGCACCATGGAGACATTTCCTGCTCATGGGCCTCCTTCCACTGGGCCCAATTCTGTGAGTGAATGACCAGATACACCTTCATATCCTGCAATGTCCATACCCACCTGGGAATGACTTTCTAGTGGTCCCCTATTTTGGTTCCCCCCACTTTTCTTCTTTCTTTACTCAAATTACACTATGCCACAGTGCCAGTTCCCTTGAATAAGCTGGGACCTGTGGCCTGACAATCAATTTTTATGCTTTGTAAATATATTTAAATATTTTGCAAGTGTCTAAGTACCAAATTCTACTACATTATGCATATAACAATCTATATTTATTGAAAGGGATAAAAATTACTTGAAATTGGTACATCCAGGATAACCAGGGCATATATATTTATACTCAAACTCTTTCAACTGAAAATGAGTATTATCACATCTATTCTAAGGTGTTAGATGTTTGCACGTTGCATGTTTATGCTCTATAGGCATAAACACTTAAGTGTCATGTATCTCACGATGTATTATTTTTACTGAACACTTCTAAAATTATTACTTCATAAATCAGTGGCTCTGAATGTGTGGCTCCCCAATCAGCAGTAACCATCATCCCTTGGGAACTTGTTAGAAATAGAAATACAAATTCTCATGCCCCACTTGTGGTTCTGCTAATCCTAAGAGGCCTGCTCGGCCACCATTTTTGTTACCTACGGTTCTGCATTTCTATATAAGGTCAGAACTGCCCCGTCATCAGTTAGAGGAGCCCAACCTTACTTACAAGGTGCCTTTCAAATCAATCAAGAGCAGAAACTCACCTGGGAAGGGTTTGCATCCTCAGATATGACCAGGAACACCAAGGTGGAGGCGTTGACTGATGTATGACAAAGGACCCTAGAAAATGATCAGTGGAACGACTTGTTGATAAGCTTGAAACCAAGGCTGGGGATCTAGGGCTTGATTTCAATTATAATACTGAGTCATCAAGCAAATGAGACGTGCCTGGGGGACAGATTCACAACCCCTGAAACTATAGATGACAGAGCACATTTTCTAGTTTCACCCCTCCCTTTTCTCTTTGTCCTCTTTCCCCTTACAACTGATGCTAGATGATTCTATCAATAAGACTAGGATCTTACTCTTTGAGAAGTATCCTGTATTGTGTAGCCTGCTCCATGACTCCCCTTTATCAATGCAGTGGTTGCAACACAACACCACTGTTGTGCAATCATCCCAGAGTGGCAGGTTCACTGTGGATTCAGACAGACCAGTAAAGAGTCCGGAGCCCTTAGTGGCATTTTACAGGCCTTTAATGTTGAATCCAGGGAACCAGATACACAGGCAAGCCAAGCAGCGAGGCTGGCATACAAGGAGGCAGGCAGGGGGGTCTGCTAGTGACTGAATGGCCAGATATACCCTCATACCCTGCCTCCCAGCTCCTGTGAATCTCCACACTGCATCTCTTGCCTCTCTGGGATTCTACCTCTCAGTCTCCTATCTTCTGGTAGTCTCCTTTCTCTCAATCTCATCTCAGTGAGGCGGCCCTTTTTGCCCTCCTTTCTAGACCCAGGTGGGCATATTTACACATGCACACACCCATGCTCTTGGGCTCAGCTGTCCATCATCATGGACTTGTATGCTCCAGGCCTACACCTCTCAGCCCTGGGCATCTGTGTGCAACCCCAAGGGAGGCAGGACCACAGGTGCCATCATAGAGGCTAGTGGCAGGAGGGCATAAAAAAGCCTGATTAGAGCCTCCCTGGTGGCACAAAGGGTTAAGTCTCAGCACAATGAAGCTATCTGCAGCCACTGCAGCATGAGTTCGATACCCAGCCAGGGAGCTGGCCCACATGGCTCAGCAGACCTCTGTCTCCCTGCTGCTCCCCTCAGCAGTGTATTTCAGTAGGTCTGCCTGTTCTGCTCCCCAGTGAGTTCTCTCAACCCCTCTGGCCTACACCCAGCTCTTGCATGCATAAATAAATCTTAAAAAAAAAAAAAGCCGATGAACCCATTTACCCTACAGCCACCCTAGATCCGCTGAATGAGAGCCTCCAGCAATCTGTGTTTTAATAAATTCCCCAAGGGAGTCAGATATGATCTAAAGTATGAGAACTGCTTCATTAATCCAAGAGTGAAAAGCAGAGCACAGGTAGTCTGTGGGATATTTTTGAAAGGCAAGTTTGTGGAGAGTTAATTAGCTAAGGAATAAAAGAAGCCAAATGGAAATCATTGGTTAAACAACCAACCAAAATGAATGTGTTGGGAAGCTACTAGCAGATCCCACTAATGCTACGAGTTTACCAGCCAACACAGGGCATGCAGGGGCCTGGAGTCCCAGTGGCTTCCAGGGGGGTTTTGTGAAACTCCCTTTTGGAGCGCAATTTCCAGCAACTCAGTGCCCGTCTTCCTTCAGCCATCCTGTCTCATTTCACACTTTGAAACTCCAGGTATTCAGGACCAGAAAGTGGCAGCCTGAGTTACACTCACCACTTCCATGGCGGGGTGGCAGCGCTGCCACGAAAACCGGCCCTTCCTGGGTCCAAGCCTTCATCCTAGTGAAAGGAGAAGCTTGGCACATGCCAGTCACCCTGAGCTCTGTCTCCCAGGAGGCACTTTTAATAAGTCCCTGGCAGGCCTCCCAGCCTCTAGTGAATCTTTGCTCCCTCTGGGCTCCCTGGTCTCTACTGCACTCTGCTGCCGCTCTGCTGCTTCTACAACGCCGCCCTTATGTAGTCTAGGTCTCTCAGCGCAGGTGTGCCGGCTCAGGTGTGCCCACTCACGCGTGCCCACACCCTACTCCAGGAGCCGCCATCAGGCACACATGTAAGACCACAGGTGTCGATCATTGATGCTAATGGCAGGAGAGCAGAAAAAACCTGATCACTGCCATTTACCCTGCAGTTCCTTTTCCAGATGACCCTGACCATCACCCAGACCCCACCTCATCCCCAGAGGAGAATCTCTTCCTGGAGGGGAAGGAGAAAAAAATGCAAAGCCATTTAAAACAACAGTCAACAAAAGAAAAAAATTCACTCCTAAAAGACTATATGGGAGACCTGAAGACAATCTTATTCCACAGTTAAAAGACAAAGAGATAGGGCCTCCCCAGTGGCTCAGCGGTTGAGCGCTGGGTTGTGAAGCTGCCCACAGCCTCTGCAGCGCCAGTTCGATTCCGGCTGCGCCCCGGCCACCGGAGGAGGGTCCCACATGGCGCACAGACCTCTCCTGCCGCCCGCTGCTCCCCTCAGCAGTGTACTTCGGTCCTTCTGTCTGCTCTGTTCCCCGCTCTGGCTCTGGTGAATTCTCTCACCCTCCCACGCTTCTGACTGTACCCAGTGCTTGAATGAATGAATGAATGAATGCATAAATAAATAAATAAATCTTAAAAAAAAAGACAAAGAGATAGCAGACAGAGGGGAAGGGGACATAGTTTAAACTCTTCCAAACTAGCCTCCTAGGAGAGCCCTCACACAACACCTAACAGGCCCAGCAAAAGCAGATAAACTTTCCAGCAACTCTCCTAATAAAATGCAAGTTACTCTTACATGCAAGCACTTAACAGCATAGAAAGGCAAAGTGGAAAATGGAAGAAACAACGACCAAATTGGGAAAATCTGTGAGAATGTTGACTTCAGAACACGAACTCACCCTTGAGATTTTCTCAGATGACAACCAGAATCTGATTTCCTTCCCTGAAATCATGTTATCTCTAGACACCCTTGGGCTATGTGGAATTTCTCAGCTGCCCACCAATCATTTGTTTAACCCCATAGACTTGGCTGCCTTCTCTTTGAAGGGAAAGATCAAATGTTATGAGTGTTCCTTTAAAAGATGGTTCTCTCCTCTTCTCTGCTCCCTTCTTATTTCCATTTCTTCTCTCCCCTCCTCAACTGTTCTTAGCTTCCTCTTTTATCCATAGTTCCTTATTTCAGCCATATCTGGACTCACCTCCTATCTAGGTAAGAAATGCTTTCATCCATCTCTCTTTTTTGTGCCAATGTTTTAGAAATGGCTGTTGGATGATTTCATTGCTCTTCTTTTTTTTCTTCTGTTCCCCTAGAGAGAATGGAAGGATGGGATCATTAGAATCAGAATTAGGAGACCTACTTTCCAGCCCCACACTCTGTTCACTAAATAACTGGGAAAATCACTTCGTTCTTAGCAATTCATCTCCCCATCTGTAAAATGAATGTGTTAGGCTCAATTTCCATTAAGGTTCCTTTCAGTTATAAAATGCTACAAGTCTTCATGGAAAAAGGCCCATATCTAAACTCAGGTTATTCAAGGGAAAGGAACTAAGTTTGTTCCAGGTACCAGGAAAAAATCTTTTACCTTATGAGAAGTAGTAGCATAAAGTGCTTATGCCAGGTGCTCCAGACCCACTATAATTAAAAATAAATATTCCTTATTTTCTTCTGTCTCACTTTCTCACTACCTTTTGAAGTATTAATTTCTCCATTTTTTTCACATGTTTTTCCTGCCCTAGATTGCAAAATAAGAAGCTGGTCCAGCTTATGTTCAAGCCTTGTCTCAATGCACCACCACTAGGGCCTCTGATGCTTTTCGTAAGCGTCACCTAATGTTGCTCACTGCTTTTATCTTCTACCTCATTTCTTCTTATCCACACAGCCATGCCACTCTTCAGTTGTCTATCTTTCCATTGACTTCCATATGAACTTCATGTAAACAAAGTATTTTCATTTCTCTTTGTGCTGCTGTCCCCAACTGGTATCGGACATGGCCATATTTCTAACAATAGTGATTGAATTAATTAATCATATAAATTGTGCCATCAATGGGCCTCCCCGATGGCACAGTGGGTTGAGCGCCACTCTGTGAACCAGTCCGCAGCCTCTGCAGCGCAGGTTCAATTCCTGGCCAGCCAGGGAGAAACCCACATGGCGTGGCAGACCTCTCCTGTCTTGCCTGCTGCTCCTCCCAACAGTGTCTTCGGTCTGTCTGCCTGTTCTGTTCCCTGCTCTGTCTCTGGTGAATCCTCTCACCCTCCTGTGCCTCTGAGCTGTACCCCAGCTCTTGTATAAATAAATACAATGTTAAAAAAAAAATATATATATATATATAAAAATTGAGCCATCAAGTCACAGAAAGGCATGGATTTTCTTTCTTAAGGCTGAGTAATACCTGTATCTCTATATTTGTATCTGTTGCATCTTGTTGATCATTACTTCAGCAGTAGACATGAAGCTTGTTTCCTACCTTGGCTATTGTGAATAATTCTGCAATAAACATGGGAGTACAGATAGCTCTTCAAAATAAAGGCCTCATTTTCTTTTGATTTATATCCAACCCAGAATGGATGGATCAGATAATAGTTCTATTTTTAATTTTTTATGGAAACGCTATACTATTTTCCATAGTGACTGGACAAGTTTATATTCCCACCAACAGTGTACAAGGATCTCCTTTTTTCCATATCATCACCATCATTTGTTATCCTTTGGTCTTACTTTTGGACCATTTTCCAGTTTTGTTGAGATGTAATTGACATATAACGTTGTATAAGATGTTTTGATAATGCATGTACTACAAAATAATTACAAGTTTAGTTACTATCATGTCACATAGTCACAATTCTTTTCTTGGGATGAGAACTTCTAAGATTTACTCCCCAAAATGTTGTTTATCGGAAGGGAAGGGGCAAGAGAATGGGAAAATTGGATAAAGGGGGTGACTTGTATGTTGTGGGATGGAAACTAGTCTTTTTGGTGGCAAACATGATGTAGTGCGTGTAGATGTTGAATTATTATGCTTTATACCTGAAACCTATATTTTCTTCCATCTCAGGAAAATAGAAAAAGAACTTAAATCCTGAGAAAGCAGAAGAAAAGAAATGAAAAGGAACATCACTACAAATCCCATGGAAATT